ACCTACTCTGGGGTCTGACATGGACAGAATCTCAAGGCTAGATTGCAAGCAAAAAAATATTATATACATATACATATATGTATATACATATATATTTTTTTCCAACCTCTCTTCTCTTTCCATAGCTTTGGCACTGGTGTCCTCTAGAAAAGTTAGTCAGTGTGATATCTAAAGTAATAGCATGAATGCGGTACGCTACATTTACTTCTCTACTTGAAGCAGCTCCTTGATGAAAAATACCAACATCTCTGCTACAGCCTAATGTATAAAACCGCTAAAAAAATAATAAAACTTGTCTTTTTAAATAGGTTAGACTACTATTTCATGCCATCAGCACTATATACATGTTAAGATATTTACAGGCATCTCAGAAAGAGAAGGTGCAACTGGACATATTTCTGTTTAGAAATACTAAAATTCAAAGCAACATACTGTATATGAGATCATGAAAATTACTGGGAGCAAGAAGCAGAAAAATGTTTGGAAATAAACATGAAACACTGATATTAGTGTGATCATTCCAAGTGTATTTGCTGTATGTGCAGGTATATATCTTTAATGAAAGTTGACTGCACACACATATTTGAGCTTATTCTAACACATGCTCATACACAGCAATCACATAAATGCATCATAGGCTCTTAAAGACCAGGGACAAAGAGTCTGAAAGTTCCAAAATTTCTCTTACCATTTGGGATCATGATGCCGCCAACCATGGTCCCAAACACAATTGCCAGCGTCAGAGCTTTAAATCGGAGAGGCGGCATATAACCTCCTGCAGCAAACGTTCCGTCTTTTTGCTGTTTAAAAAGAAAAGATTAATAAAAGAAGTATATGAACAGATCCTCTTCCCCCACTCCTGCAAATTCTCAGGAATCTCTTTAGGGTCCCTCTAAATTAGAATCTCTTCCCAATGTGTTTGCTTGATCAACCATTTATTACTATTTAGAAATTATTTACAGAAACTTTAGACTTAAAACTGTAAATTAATCCAACTAGTATGATTTAATGACCTCTGAAAAATCATCCAGTATGAAAGTTAACAGGTCAGTGTAACAAATGAAATGCATATTTTTCACTTGTCTTTTCTTGTTGGTTATAACTCTCATAACTGTCTTAAAATGCCTTTAAAACCTTTTACGCGCTGCAAATAAATTATGCTTCAAAATAGTAGAGCAAATGTTAAGGCAATTATACTTCAAATCAATGTCAGCTATATCACAAATCTGCGCAGTAGTGGACAAGATTCATCATGGCTTCAGCTGGCCAAAATTATTGTACTTGATGAGTTACACAGTGATAATGCACATGGTAAAAATGGATTACAACCTTGCATTTGAATGGCACAAGAGTCAGTCATTTACCAGAGACTGAGCTTCTTAGGAAGTGGCTACATTTGGGGGAACAAAATGGCAAGACAAAAGAAAGGAGATAATTACCACTTGCCTAGGGCATGGTCACAACCACTGATAGCTGATTTGAAACTTCCTTATTTCTTGGGATATTAAGATGCTTTAGGCTAAGTTCTACTTCATACCTAGGAGTCAATGGCTGCCGTCTTCACAGGCATTATGCTTATGCACAGGAAGGCTTAGTCAACCTAATTTACAGAGTGTCCTAAACATTACTTCCTGCTCTCAAACATGTTTGGTTGCTTAGTCTTTCCCCCAGCAAAATTGATTCCATGCAAGAGCAAATAGCGTTAATTGTTATCTAACCATTTTCTTATAATAAAGCAACCTTGGGGAATCAGATTGAAACACCACCAAATTGAATGCTATCTCCAAAGCTAAAAATAGGGAAATTCCACTTGTTCCTTCTGTATGAGATATAAAGAATGGAGGAGAGGGCAGTGTGAACACAAATTCTTCAGTTTAGGATTGACTATGGAGGAAAGCCTAAAGTCTAGTTAAAGCAAGTTTACACAATCTTACTTGCTGCTCAAAAAGAAGCGTATTCAAGGCCTGCCGGCATGGCAGAATCATCATTGGAAATCCAACTGCAACAGACATCATGAACCCTACACGTATCACCTCTGTCACTACGTTGGAAGGAAAGTTTATAAGTACATTGCCCTCAATGGCTTCAGTGTAACTCACGTAGCCAAAGAACCCAACCTGTACAAATAGAAAACAGAAATTATTTTCAGAGGTCATATAATTTCTTTATTGGAAAGAGAACAAGTTTGGGCACCCCTTGGGCCTGCCCCCCAGGCAAAGAGAATGCTATCTTTTCCTGTGATAATTTAATTAATTATATCCCCCTTATTCCCTCCTTACCTCTAAATTGTATACTTATCACCCATTCCAATCTGTCTCTTAAGAAAACTGTCAAAAATCTCACTGTACAAAATGATTTCCCTGTACATTTCCAAATTCTAGGAGATGTTTCAGAGATGGAATGGGCAGTATTTAAAGGGCAGCTATGTAACAGATTTATGATAGAGTAAAACAAAGTTCTAATATGATATGAAGATGAGGAATGACATTAAGTCATTCTGAGCACTTGGCCATGACAATGTCTAGCAACGTTTTCCCAAAAGTAAAAATGTTACAATAACTTTAATTTTTCTCCATTGTCTTAAATGTGTTTTTATGACATCACCACATTTTATCACTATGGAAATAAAGACCACAAAGAATTCGTCAAGCTGACTCTGTCACAGAAGGCAAGATAGCAAAAAACTCCAAACTCTGCCCTTTAAAAGGGGGAGATATTGTAATGTACCCACCAACAATAACTGGTCATGCCTGGTCAGGATGAACTATATATTTAAGTGGGTTTCATAATGCACCGTGACATTAATTTTTTCTGGTTGCCAACAAGCTTATCAGAAAATAATGTCATTCACTTCACAGTGTAGCACCGGGAGAGCTACAAGCAAAATTCATCATTCCTCCCTTGCCCCAAATATTAACAGCTCAATGGTACTGAGAATTTACTACGACTGAGAAATGTAATAACTGCCAAGCATTGCCCAGGTAGGCACAAACTGCAGCCCCATAGAATGCAGTTCCTAAAACCCCTTCAAATGTCATTGCTGAATGTATCAAATGGGGAACCTTATTAAACATTAGTTGGAATAATCACATAAACTGCATTTAATTCAAGCATTTTCATTTAAATTAGGTTAAGCGGTTTTTGGGGTGAAGTTCTTGACACATCACCCAAAAGTTAAACTTTGCACACCCCTGGTCTAGATGCACATACACTGTCAGTTTGAATTATGAAAGAGAGTTGGGAAAAGCTTTTCACAACTTCCTTTTTTTGCCCTTTCAGAAATGAGTGCCTCAGCAAAGGACAGGTTTGCACTTTCTGATCTCCAGATATAGATGAAGCAGTGACCCCTTCCAGTATATTTTTACATTTTATACAGACATTTCTGGCAGCATCTGCTGATCAGTCCTATCAAACTAATTGTTTAGTTAAAGTACAGGGAAATTTAAACACCATATATGCACACCAGTCACACATACCATGTTCCAACCCTGCTTAATGGAATTTATGGTTTGCAAATCCTGGATTCTGAATTGGCAGAACAGGTCATAGTTCCTCACAGTTCATTCTTTACAGACTTTTTTTCCAGAAGTTTTTTTTTTATGGTTTTGTTTTTTTTAATGTAGAGAAGGGGGACAGAGCAGCGAAGATTTTTTTAAAAAATAAACATTCTCACCATAACATAAAAGGCAGTGACCACCTTTAGCGAGGAGGCAAAAATGGAACTCATGATTTTAACGGACGGCTCATCCAGACTGTCGTAAGTTGGCAAGACCTGGCTGCAAAACACAGTCAAACATTGGAGCATGTTAGAAACTCTTGTCAGGAAGAGAAATATTCCATCCTGTGCTCAGTTGCCACTATAAAGGTAATCCCAGAATCGCCCCACAAGACTCTTGTCATGCTACAGTGGTTTATATTGCCAATGCCAAGAGACTTCTAATCATTCCCAAGTTTAAGTGCTGCACAAATATGCCTGCTCTTCTCCTCTTTGCCACTGCCATGTGCACAATATAAATATTTCACATTTTGAAAAAAGAAAAAAAGTTATGTTGCAACTTGAATGACCACTTGTTTGAGTCAAATACCAGTGGCAGAGCTCCAGACAGCACTCTGGAGATTATTGTTCTTGGAGCATCCTGGGTTGATAATTAAAGCAATACGGTGTTTACAGAATAAGAAGCAGGAAAGGAGCGAAAGCATCATATTGTCAAAGAGAAAAGTTAAACAACCAAAACTAAACACTACGCCTGTCATATTTCAGCACTAATGCTTGAGCCCAAGCTCCCAGAAAACTGAAGGAGCCAATTACACGGGGTTTGGGTGCTTATATACTTGGAAAGCTTGTTCCCAACATCAGGTATATAATTTACTACAGCAGCTGGAGGTTGCATAGATCTAATTCAGAGGCTGGCAATGTTTGAATGGTCGGGGGCAGCAATTCAGCCTCCCAACTTTCTGAAGAGCTCTGGGAAAAAGTCCAGTGATGTCTAAGTTTCATCCCTGGAAGGGGTGTGGCTGAAATTGTTTTGGCCATTTTTGGCTTTGTGGGAAGGTTAAGGATAGCAATGGGAGGGGGAAGTTTCCCAGAAGCAAACTGCTCCCAGTCTGACTCTTAAAACAACATCAAATACCCCCAAATGAATAATTTTTCAGCCTTTTTTGTTTTGTTTTGTTTTGCTTTTTTAGAGGATTTTAAGTGTGAGGGTGGAAGCAGGAGGCCTCCTAAAGACAAATCACTCTTATCCCCATCTTTTAAATTTTAAATTTTAAAATCTGATTGATAGATCTCTTCTTCTAAGCATTCCCCTGTAAAAGATACTAGTCAGGGTGAACTTTGTGACAGCCCCTAATCAGTCCAGCTGGATTGTTCTTAACCATCCTACCAGGGCTTCAGGAAAAATAAAAAGGACAGAGCCTTGGATCTTTCTGCCCCAAGCCCAGAAGTATAGAACAAACTACATGCTAATCCTGAAACACTGCTATGTACCCAAGCAGCTTTGCACGTGGGGGAGGTTTTAATGAGAAATTCCCTTTTTAAGCCAATGAACTGAATCAGATATCTTGCATTTTAAAAACCTTAATAGCAAGCACTGTCCCCTGATTCAGAGAAGAAGGTTGATCTTTAACTCCTGCATTTTTTGATTACAACTGTCCCCACCATTATGATGGATGCAGAATGAATTTTTAATAAGGAGAGCCATTCCAGAGGATGGGGAACTAGGAGAATGAGCCCCTCTTCCTTAGCTCTTTAGTGCCTACCTCACTCTGAGGCTGCACATTTTTTTTTTTTTAAGTAAAAACCACCCTGTTCATGAATCTCTCTGATTCTACTTGTTTATTCATTCTCAGGCCGAACAAGTAGTATGAAAGCATTCTGTGAAATTCTGGGTATGCAGCAAAAAGTGAAAATAAAACTTTCCTCAAACACCGTCAAAGTACTTCTGACTGTCTAATCCCAAAGAACAAATCACAAATTTACTGTTGCCACCATACCTTGCTTGTGAACTTCCCTATGGCATCTGCCTGGATACTGTTGGGAGACAGGCGGCTGGATTAGAAGAGCTTTTGGTCTGATCTAACAAGGCAACTCTTGGGCTTTTAAAAAGATGGTAGTTCAAAGAGACAGAGGATCAGAAGTCCCTCACCACCCCTGCTTTGTATAAACAAGCTCCAAGACATTTTGGCTTTCCAGACACAGAAGTAAAAGAGACTTTCAAACCCATCATATGTGCAAGTCAAACCTTCCCTGCCAATCAGGACTCCAAGATGCATAACAAGCAGTGCACCTTACTGTGCACAGACTTTATTTTTAAGCTGAAATGTCCACCCTGAAGGCCAGGTCAAGATCAAGGTATTGGGGAGCAGAAATCTTTGTCTGATAAACATTTCCTTATGCTACAGGGATTCTTCACCATACTAGTAATCACATAACACTGCTTCTTGGGGTAAACCAGAGAAAAGTATTTAGTCCAAATGCCCTTTACATTTATCTCTATTTCCAAGATGAGCACGAGGATTAAAACAGCACAAGCAAGCAGCTTCAGAGCCTGAAATAGTTCTTGGTGAAGGAAAAAAGAGTATTTCTTTTGTGAGCAGGTTTCCATTTCTTAAACATAAACACCCATCCTTCATCTGCAGAACTCTGAAAGGGTATAGTTGCATTTAGATTCTTTTGGGGCAGGATGCAATACTGCTCAGAGAAAAGGCCTAATTCTGCAAAATGCAGAAGTCTTAGGACAAAGCAGTTGGAATATTTGATCAGAGTTAGATAGTATCTTGCTTCATCTGATACAGGCTCACTCCTCCAAGTACATTCAGTTGTAAAGGGGAATGTGTCCTTTGTAATGACCCCAAAAAAGCACATTTATTTATTTATTTAAATTTCCAAGGTTGCCCACCAGCCAGTGACTCTGGGTGCAGCTACTATGCTATGAAAGAAAATGTGAGGAATTGGATTTCTGCAAATCTTAATAAAAACTGCCCTTCCCCCAGACTGATGCCTACAGCAAAATTTCACTCTATACCATTTTGTTTTTTCCACCCTCTAGCTTTATATGTCTATATCATATCTATTTCTCTCTCTCTCTCTCTATTTATATCTACATCTACTGTATGTAAGTAAGTAAATAAACATACATATATTGAAAGAAAAATATCTTTAGAAAACAAATTTAAATGCACTTCTACTATTTTTTTAAAAAATCGCTGATTAATGGAGAAATTGGGCCAAATGGTCATGAATGTGGATAGCTACATGTACAAGTGATGCAGCGCATCAACAGAGTCCTCATTTCCAGCCCTTCAATATGTCATTCATATTGCACTAGCAATGATACTGGAATGACACCAACTAAGAACAGTGCCAGTCATTCCAGCCGGTTCACACGAGGATCATCTATACCTCTGACCGAAATGCCTGATTCAAAGATTACATCAGCATAGCTCGTATTACAAAAGAGTTTTAATGACAGGGACACTATCCTAAGGTCATACAGGAAGGCTGTAAGAGAGCTAATGTTATATTTCTAGGCTTTCTGGCTCCCAGCCTCATGTGCAGTCTGTTAAACCATATGCTGCACACGAGGGGCGGGGGGCACAGAGGCATTTCTTTGAATTTGGCAATGACAACAAACCTTAATGCCAGAGACAGCCAACTCTACAAGCAAAGCATACTTGTACATTCACAAGCCATAGCAAATGGTCTATCAATGCATGTTACTTCTTTGCTCCTATCCAACACTTCTTAAATTTTTGGGGTAAATCAACTGAAAGGTCAATTATTACAAGCCTGTCAACCCTGGGATCCATCCATATGTGACATCACGCAGGCCAAGAAGTGTGTGTTATTCTTGCCATTGGGAAAAATGATAGGATTTAACTTTCAGTTTGGCTTGCCACACCAGTGGTGTAGTAATCTATATATAGAGAGAGATATGTGAATATACTAGTCCAGAACATATAATTTTGCTGAGTTTCCAACTCCCACCAAATGAAGGTTGGTTGCTGAATGGCCACCACAAGAAAAAGGACAAATTTGGATTTTATAAACCCCTGCTGTGGTAACTAGGTAGCTATAAAAGAATGAATCAACCCTTCTGTCACCAATTATAGCAGAGACACTTAAAACTGAGTGAAGCACATTAAATCTGAGAAGCATAATTGGGGGAGTGGGCAGAGGGGGAGAAGGAGAGCCCAGCTGTATCAAAGCTAATGCTAACGGTCCATTTTGGGTCCTCAATTGAACACACGCACCTCTATGGTTTCACTGGGCCACTTTTCAGGCTAGCCACAAATGAGAGGGTGGTAGAAGTAATGCTACTAGAATGGAAATGGGAATTATCTGTGGATGAAAGCTTACATCTGCCACAAGAACAAGTCTGACAACTAAGGGTAGGCATGTGTTACACCCAAAAAAATCCATAAGTTCTTCATCCAGAATAAACTGTGCCAGTATGCAGCATGGATTTTCGTTATTTCTTTTTCATTGACAGACTGAGGGATTGGAAAAAGAAAAGAATGGTGGAATCAGAAAATGGAGAGAGGAGGCGGCGAAGAACAGAATAGGGGAAGACATAAGGTGCAAAAATATCATTTCTAATATTGAGGTTTCAGAATGGGCAGATGCCAGCAACTTACATTTCTATCCTTTAGCCTGAAACTGATAAATTTTAAAAATTGTGTGTTTGTGTGTGGGATGTGTGTATATGTTAAATGAGAGCCAAAAGACTTGAACCAAATTCTGGAATAACCTTTGCCTGGAGTCCTGCCCTGAGTCCATAAGGGCAAATGGGACCCTATAATCAAAAAGGTCAAATTGGCTTAGGAGCAGTTGCCTTTTACTTAAACAGTCTCTGCTAAAACATTTGTATTGCTTAATGAAGATGTTCCCAAAACCAACAGAAGAGAATATATGTTGAAAATAGATGTTCACAGAAATCATTTTAAACAAACATTGGTGGCCCACTATGGTGTTTATTATCTCTTCTTAAGTTCTTCTTACATCTCAAGAACAGGGGACAATACTATCCCGAGTACCAGACATTAAAGCCAATGGAAAATTACACCGGAGATGTATTTGCTTCCTATGAACAAGAAGCTTTTTAAGTACAATGAGTCCAGAGTGAAATATAACTCCCTCTCCCAGCTAGGTAACAAAAGGGTCACAACCCAGTCAGATGCTATACCTCAGTGGGCTGTAAAATATTTTGATTAAAATCAAGACGAGGGGACCAGATGGTATCTATCCCATGCAGGCCATCCTGACCCTTTGCCCTTAACAAAACTCATTCCACCCCACAATCTCCAAGCAGCTACAACTGCTGGTACTTACGACTGACAGGCAAACGACATGCCAAAGATAGGAATGCAGCGAAAAATGCCCTCCCAGCGTGCGTAACTGACCCGCTGCAGCCACTGCCCAACAAAGAGGCCATGTTTGAAAGCAGAGAGCACGATCTGTAGCCAAGGAAAAGAAAAGAAAGGTTACAATCTAGGCAGCAGAGACACCAGGCCAAACCAGTGAATGGCAACCCAGGTTGCAGCAGCTTTACTAGCAACTGGGAAACCAGCAAAGAGGCAGCAGAACCTTACAGGCAGGTATTTCACCAAGCCACATTTCCTTGGCCTGGGTCACCACTACATAAGATGTATGGAAAATCTAGGGTTTCGGGGTTCTGGGTAAATTTCAGCAACCTGCATTATGAGGAAGGGGGTGGTGCAAAAATTGCTTATCCTCCAACTAAATGTTCTCAACGGGGCATTTGATAAAATATGCAAATCCCTGCATTGGCATTCAATCCCTTCAATTTCTAGTAATAATTCCTTTCAACATCTTTAAACATTTCCACCTCCTAACCAATCACTCTCTTCTTTCAGGGGGCTTTCTGTATTCTAGCTTTTGGTAATAATTAGCTCACCCACCTTTCGCAGCCACAGCCTCCCAAATGCACTATGTGCTCTAATTCACTGACACCAGTTTTGCCATGAAGGAGCTGTACTGCACAGAGCTCTTCCTCTAGAGCAGTGTTTCTCAACCTTAGTCACTTGAAGATGTGTGGACTTCAACTCCCAGAATTCCCCAGCCAGCCATGAAGTTGAAGTCCACACATCTTCAAGTGGTTACGGTTGAGAAACACTGCTCTAGACACCTGCCACCTCTTTCTCTCTTTTAAACCTGCTACTTTGGCAAGGCTGTCAGCATATCCCCTAAACCTGAACTGCTAATTCCAAATGCAACTATAGAAGAAAACTGTTTTGCTATGCGGATTTCTCCCTCTCTTCATCTTTCCTTCCCCCCTGCCTCCCATCCCTGCATTAGAATAAGTTGCCTGGTAGGAGGAACTGATAGTCTTAGATTGAAAACGGGGTGGGGGTGGGGAATAGAATTATATAACTCTTTAAAGCCCAGCTGAGCAACTGAGAAAACACATCGTTTGTGCATACCAAAACATACTTTGTTTCGTTATGACCTTTGTTACAAAGCACCATTTTCATTTTGCATATTATCAAGTTAATCTGAGATCATTACATGTTGGGTACTGGTGGTGATGGAAATGATAATTGTGTGTCATGGCACAAATGATGTGGCTAACATACCTGCATAAAATGTCAGACTCCAGTACATAACTGTATCATTTAGGTGCCAATATCACCTAGCATGGGTCATTATTTTGATATCATTGAAGCTTTCTAAGGATGCCTATGTCTTCTGCTTCTAAACTGCAGCCTAGGAAAATAAGGCTCTATATCTTTGCCAGCTTGGCTGGTGTGCCAGCTGCATAAGTATCTAGAACAGGGAACCATGAAGATGGTTATTATGTGGCTCAGGGAATGCCTGCCAAAGGTCCCCACCTATCAGCAAGTATGGAGGAGCACGCCCGAAAACTGGCATTCCCTGGGCAAGTTTCCCTCCTATGAACAGCAAGGGTGACTCACACTCTTAGAGCCTTCAGGACATTTGTAAAGAGGCCCCTGAGTTCTAACTGGTGGAAATAAGTGGTGTCAGATATCCATATGTATAATCATTTAATATAACTGAATGTAACTTTGATATGATTATATCCTATGTATTTATTCTAGTACTGAGTCTTAGCTGTCACTTTTTGCACACCACTTAGAGGCTTTTAAGTCTTTTAAAGTTTTTTAAGCCTAAGCCTGTAGCCATTTAAAATGTTCATAAATAAATAAATGGTATCCTAAACAAATATTTTTAAAGAGGAGAATGGCTGGAGAGACAAGATAAAGCAAGGAATACCTAGGAATACCATCTCACTAGGTGAGATGTTAAAGAAACTGAGGAAGGAGGCTTATTGCAGGGGAATTTGTTAGCTGCCTCTCTGGCAAATCCTCAATGAGCAAGCTTTGAAGGAAGCATTTGATTAAACACTGTGGAACAGAAAGTGAAGGAAGCATCAAGGAGTTCCTCTGACGATCTGTGTGGCCTAAGATCCTATTGTATACACTGCTATAAAAGCGCTGACTTGCTGGAAGATGAGGACATGGCAGGATCTCCCTGGAAAAATGTGTAACTTTGAGTAGCGCATGGGAGACATGTTCCTGAGTCTGTGGTTTGCACAGAAGAGCAAGTAGCATCCCTGTTACTGGTAGTGGTCTTCCATTACTAGGTACTGCCAATAATCGAGAAAGCTTTTCAAATTAAACCCTAAAAGTGTGAGTTGTTGCCAACAAGCAGACTAGGCCTCCTTTTAAAGGTCCTCGGAGAGCCCACCCATGCGAAAAGTTTGGGTATCGTGGAATTTAAATATGCACTGTGGTCTCCCTCAGAGGAATTAACCACTAGATTGAAGAAAACAAAAGCTTCCCATCATTAATACTGACCACAAACATAAACACCGTATAGAAAATCAGAGCCATGGCACTGAAGGACTGTATGGAAGCCATCATGTTTCTCTGGAGACTCAGCGGGAGCACAATACAGAGGGAGATGAAAAAAAGCAGGAGTATCCGGAACAAGCCGGTCACCTGAAAGGTGAACATGAGAAACAGTTACATCAGCCTTCCTCAATCAGATGCCATCCATATGTGTTACATTGACTACCACAGATCAAGAAAGGCAGAGCTACAGTGAGCACTCCCAGGAAGGAAGTACATTCAACATTTGCCACAACATTCTAAGCCCATCCACTCTGCTGTAGACCAAGGTTAAGACTCACTCTGAAAGCAAATAAAAGAAAAAAAAATCTGGAATGTCAAGGAAGCTGCTTCTCACAGAGCATCTGTGATGAGACCACACAGACACTGGGTGCCACTGTTGCTCTATGAAGTGCTTATCAAAACCATTTTAAAGGAAAGGCTCATTGCCTGTTTTAAATGGTAATCCAAATGCAACATTATTTGAATATCTTTTATGTACTTCCAGCAAATAAAATGAAAACTAACTTTGCTGCAAAAAGGGGAAAGATGGAAGTCTTGGAAATTCTGACCCAGAAAATTAACCAACAGCTTTTTATATTTATTATACCAGGAAGCCTGGAAATGCCTCAAAATATTTAATACCTAATTTGGCTTTGCTTATGATGCAAATTTTTTTTTTTTTTAGCTTCTTAGGTTCTTAATCAGAGCTTAACTACATCAGGCCAGAGCAGATAAAAACCATGCCTGAATGCTACTGAATGTCCATTGTAGCTTTCCTGGCCTGTCCCTGCTCCTACGGATAGTTCTTTGGTTCCTATTTATCCACTGGGAATTAAACTGCTCCTGCATGGGAAAGGCAAAGAGCAGATATGCTATCAACGCTGCACTTTCTTGACCTGGTTTGCCAGGTTATTCACCATCATGTTGTATGTTCCTATTTGGCACTTTGAGATTAACAAATGAGCTGATAGGATATATACCTAAGGTATACATCTACAAAACCCTATTCACATTTACTCAATTCTGTCTCTAGGGTACTTGATACTACAAACTTTAGCATCTCAAACTGGAAGTTCCCTGTTGATTGCTTCAGCATACAGTAATAGGTCCAGTTCTGCCTTGTCCTGTCTCACATCAACGTCAACTTAAAAACACGATAAATATTATGAGAAGTTTGAGATGCTTCCATAATTGGAATGGATTGGTAGGTGAGAGCACACATATAAATGCAATGGCTATATAAACTAAAAGTAGAGACAATCTTGCTGATAAACTATGAGAAATATACAATAGGGTTAGGCAAATTTCTGTTTTGCAGGAGCTACTTTGTTTTTATTAAACAACTAAAATACTGAGCCTTGAAATCTGTTTTAAATACCATGTCTGAATAATCTCAGTCTTTCCGCTAAAAATCCTCAACTTCTCAGATTTCTTATTTCACCAGTATAATTTAATGTGCAAGGGCCAGTCACATTAATGCTGCCATTGTTAAACATTTGGAAGTCATTGCCAACATACTGTAAGTCACAGGAAGAGCGACCAGGTGATCCTGGTCTACCTTCACCCCACCTTGATGAATTGGAAATACAAACATTTGCAAAAAAACCCCGAAGTCTTGGGATTGAACCCTGACCACTAACTTCATGGCGAATGAGTGGAATTAATTTGCCTTAAGTCAGGTTTTTGTGGGGCAGGCTGCTCTGTAGTTACTGTACCAGCTATTAATTTTGAAAATGGCAGGCTGCTTGAGTATACTACCCCAACACCATTCAGACAAGCTTTCAAATATGCCCTATGTTGTTCTATATATAGACATGAAAGAGGCACTGATCTAATTTGCTATTGATAAGGTCATTAAAAAAGTAAGCTTACCTGGAGTCCAAGTGATCGAGCAAAGAAGTTTGATCCTAAGTCTCCAATAACAACATAGAAAGCTACACAGGTCCCCAGCATCAGTCCAATCATACTGCAAAAATACACAAAATGGACCAGTCATTCTAGAAAATCTTGGAATAAAACCTTTATAACTTACCCATGTGCTAACTGCTGAATTCAAGTGGGATCTATGTTCAGAAATTTTCTGAATATAGCCATCTTTCACTGCTGGTACCCTAGATAACAACAATCTTCTCACCATTTTGTGAACAGGACAGCTTCAGAAGAAGCATTAATTATGTATACTGAAGGGGAATTTTCCCACTCAATATCAAGGTACTGTACTTCATGCTCCTAATGTAGGCTCCAACAAGCACAGTGGAGAGAAATATGTTGGAAGCCATACACTCATCTCAACTACAACAAGCTTTTGGAATCACCAGATCTAAGGAAAATGTATCTCAAGGGAAACAACCAACCACTGAGACATGGCAGGACTCCAGGAAAACTATATTTACTAATGGTTGCTGGATGTTAATAGTTACATATTGATGCCATGTCTTGGCATACCTCAAGAATATTGCTAGCAGCCTATACTGACTAAATGGGATTGCCTGCATATATTTACGATCTTAATATTGACTGTTACCCTACAGAATCCTCACAGACTACCTAAGAATTCCAAGGGATCTCCTGTACAGGCCAGGTGGCGCAGCGTCACATCTACTGCCATGTCTTCTCCCTCTCCTTCTGTAAGCTTGGAAATAAGCACTTCCTAATTTCACTCCCATGTGGCACATTTAATGAGGTAGCCTAGATCTATTTCACTTCTCTGCAGATAGATATGGGGATAGTTTGTTGCACCCATATAGAAGAGAAAAAGTACAGATAAACATTTCAAAGAACAACAGTGTTTCCCTCGCCCCAAAGTAGTGCTATTTTTCCCTTCCCCTCCTTCCCTTCCTCCCTTCCCCTTTCCTTGAAAGTACTCTAAAATCTGGAAATACATCCTTGCATATACACTTATAGACACTGAGATATATATAACTACTTTTATGCAATGAAACTGTTTTATGAAATAGTTTCACTCTGTCCATGAGTCTGACATTATGGAAAGGGGCAAAATGGAAATGCTTAATAAGACTTTAATAAAAGAGACAACCAAGCACCTAGTCAGCAAGGAGATTGCTGCATGTCAATTTAACTGCTTTTCCAGACATAAGATGGAAGCTCTATATTGGGAGAAACATATTACTCATTTATTTGCTTTCAATAAAAGACATGTGTGTGTGCAAGTAAGGATGTTCATGTACTATATATATGCATGTATGTAAGAAATATATTTAGAATATTCTAGGGAATTCCATCGAGCACACAATCAAGAGTGGGGTGAAGGTCCAAGGCAGAAGCCAATACTTGCTCAGTGAAGAGTGGAATAGGCCTCACAATTTGCAGGAAGTCAGACAGCAGTTTAATTAAGACATCATTCTGTGAGCCCGTGCACCTTTCCCTGTCACAAAAGCACGGATCACTTCGCCTGTCTTTTCTGACTGCATAGGACCCCAATAGCAATTATAGCAATTGCTAACATGGAAGATTAATGGCAATGAAGTCCTGAGAATATTTTTAGGCACCTCTCAAAACAGTTCAAAGCTGGGTGATAAAGAAGCAAGCCAGGATCACATGACCAGGCAGCTCCCAACAGATCACAGACTGAGAATCTCAGTCGTAAAAAGCAGCCCTGTGATGCCATTCGTATTCAAACTACCATCAAAGTTAGTGCCTCTTCTTATTTTGAGAGAGGCATAATGTATGGGAAAGGTCTAAGTTCCTCTTTTAAAATTCAAGTTTGTGGTGAACTAGTGTTAAGATCTTGTTTGGGACATTTCCCTTTACAAAAGAAAAGTTATCATTAGAAGTTAAAGGTCTTCAAATGATGGCAGGAGCATGATGCCATATTATTGTCAACAAACTTGTTAATGTGGACCAGTGTTGTTCTTGTTCTACAGAGATGGAAATAACTACAAACAAGATAAAAAGACACTACTGAATTATTCAAGGCTCTCTCCTTCGACTGAAGTGGGACCACTCAACTGTTTTCCCCATGTGAAAAACCAGTTCACAACATGATTTATAGATTTGAATGGGTAGCAGAGATGTGTATGCATCCAAAGCTTTTCAAGTGGAATATCCTCTTCAGCATAAAAATGCAGAGGCTGAAAATATAGCTATTTATGTCAATCATTTTAACCAAATTTGTGAGAAAAAATAAAAGATTAAGAATACCTTTAACAAATGTAGGGATCTGCCACAAAATTTCAAGGGAACAATTGTATACATACCATATTATCATGGTTGAAATGGCCAGCTGGATATACAGAAGATGGAGGGCCTACATATCTATAATGCAGACAAATCATTCTCAAGTGTAAATATCTTCTGCCAATCAGAAGTACTGCAATGTTTTGTCTGAACCTTTAAGTATGCATATCTCCCAGCTTTCCTGGCAACTGAGCACTGATTGCTAGGGAATCTAAAGTCCTAGGAAGAGCTTTTAAAATTGGACTTATGAATGTGTATTACATGTTTTCCCTACATTAGCACCATGCTTACCCCCCAGCTGGATAAATATGCCAAGTTCTGGAAAGGAGTGATTAGTAGAAATAGAACATGAAACTATAGATAAAACATCAAAACTTCAGAGATAAGAACAACTTGCATATTAAGCAGTTAACAAAATTTAAAATACTTGAATCTTGAGGGGGAAAGGGGGAAAAGAAAGTACCTGGTTTCCACAAGCATTTTACCAGATTTTCCATAGGCATGGAAGGCTAAAAAAAAAGAAAAAGTGGGGAGGGGAAAACACATCATCACAATTGTTATTCAAACATATGTTCAAAACGTGGCATGTATAAAATGAATATCACTCACCAGAGGCAATTCAGAAGGCAGGGTTTTGCTAGTTTTGTATTTCAGAGTTGGTTTTCTTCCATCCCACCACCACTTGGGATTTTTTTTCCCCCTTGACATACCATTCACAAATCAGAAGCCACATGAAAACAAATTTGGAAGAAAGATTCAAAACAGGTTCTTCTTCCCTCCCCCCTCCCCAAACCAACAGCACTAAGTAGGAGTTACACATGGTAACCATTAAAAGAAGAAAGGCGGCACTGAAAAGAAAATATGTGAGCGTAAGAGATTGTGTGGCTAAAAGTTACTGCAGTGCAAAATTTCAGTTGAGTTCCCGTTTTCATTCTTTCCTGCCCCACTACACCCGAACCACTTTGTGCTGCTGATGGGAGGACTGAGATGGGTGCCCGGAATGCTCAACCACCCTGACCATATCCATGATTCACCACCACACCAAAGGATTTGACCAATAGATTTTTTTAAATTATTATTTCATGCACTGATCACTGCTTGCCGCACAAAACAATCAGCATCCTTGAAATCACTGCCGCTCTGGAAAGCTCAGCTTGCATTTTCAAAAGGCATTTGACTATGAGGGTAAGAGGAAAATTACCACCTCCAATTCTGAGAGAGAACCTTTTTAACTGGGACCATTACTAATGCCACATTCATGTGAAATGTTTACAGAGGGCAACTAGCTTTCAACCTCACTTTGCAGAATGTACTTATTCTCTTGGGGAAATCTGTGTTGTTTTTTTTAAATAGCCACCCTAGTGCAGGAATGTAACAGAAGGATGAAGACAAGAGAAAGCACCTCCCTCTACAAAGTGAAGGCCAAGGATAATGTCTCCTTAGAAATCAATTTCTCAATTGAAAAAGAATCACTGGTTTTCAATTAAAACAAGTAAGAAAACAGAATACAACAAAGGCAGGCCCACTGATGCAAATGTCCTTGATGGCTCATCCTCAGTAAATCTGTGGAGAAGGGGAGGAGGACAGAAAAGTAATTCAAATTTATTTCAAAAGAGAATTTTGATGCAAGCCCAGTTTAGCTGAGAGTGGCAAGTTGGATGCTTAGTTATGCTTTTACTTTTCATCTGCTATCATGTTCTAATTCTACAATTTAAATCTCATGACTAGTTTTCTAAGGAAAGTACTTGTAAATATCCGTTTCCTATGCTCTTCTTTGCTTTAAAAATGTTTGTGTACATATACATTTAGGTACAAACGGACTTACTTCCCTAGCTCCAATATAGAATAGGCATAGAAAAATTAGTCCCAAGAGCAAACTTGTAAATGAAGCGTTAAGATAAATTTTAATGATTTGTTTCAAGAGATTATTGGGGTGGGGACTCATATTACAAAAGTTTTAGATTTGTTCTTTCTTTAGCCTTATAAAAGTCTAAACGTCCAATCCAAAAGGGATTAGCAACTTTGTTGATTTGAGAACCTTATCTTCACATGCTTTCGTGGAAGAAAATAAAGAGGGCCAAAATAACCAAATGCTGGCAGGGAAAGAAGTTTGCCCGAATTCTGTCTCCCTGTCTCTCTCCAGAAAAAAAAAAAAAAACTATCAGAGGGAGTCATTCTTTTAATACTCAATGTAGAGGAGCTTTAGAAAGGCCTTTAGGAAACTTGGAGAATAATATTAACAGTTTAAAGTCACACACTCAGAGGTAGTTCATACATTATCTGATTATGGAAATTGTTACTTGCATGGGTGGTCAATTTGCATGCTCAGTATAACTTCATGGGAGGTCTTTCCAGAAGATCACAGTAGCTACTTGAGTTAAATGGGTGTGCTGGAAATTAGAAATCTGGGTTTTATTCTCCATGGAAGTAGCCACTGGGATTGTCTATAAGAATGTTCTCGGGCATTCCATTGTTCACATGAAAAAAAACTGCTTGTGAGCAGTTATTTCAACATGTAAGCCAGACCATACGGCTTCCTGCTGATATTTAGGAATAAATGCCTGTTTTTGTCATAAGAAAAGGAAGAACCTACTTGACTTAATCCTTAGAAATAAAGCCAGCTGTAAATACAAGTTAATAAACCAAATTCATTCATCGGTGCATATTCCAGACCATCACCATTTCAGATTTTCATTTGGTACCTCATCAGTGTCAGGAGAAAACCGACTGACTAGGTAATAGTAGGAGAAATAGCAACCTTTCAGAAGAGAACTTGGAGTTTTTGGAGTAAGGTCGGGTGAAAAATTCATCATTGGAGAAGTGGTGGACAGAATAAACAGAAGGATTCTGTCAGACACTGGAAGTGATTAAGAACAATGTTTTAGGATGTCAAGTTATGCCTATTGGGTAGTAGCTAGCAAGTGATCATTACAATCAAGATGCCAGCCTAGGGATGATACCCTTTAGATGTATTGGGCTACCACTCACACCATCCTTAGCCACTGTGGCCATAATAGGGCATTCTGGCTACTGATGGTTGGCAAGAAGTATAGTCTAATGCAATAAGAAGGTATCAGGTTGGAAGAGGTTGCCCTCTAGTTTATAAAGCTGTGGATACAACCTTTGGTTGCATTTATATCACACCTTTCCTCTGAAAGTTCAAGGCAGGATATATGAGGGTCTCCCTGATTTTATCTCCATAACAACAGTCCTGTGAGGTACATCAGGCTGAAAAAGAGTGACTGACCCAAAGTATCCCAGGAAGCTTCATAATTAAGTGAAGATGGCTTTCAACCAAGCTCACACTCAAAGTTTTAGTTTGTCAGATATACTGGTGATGAAAATATTAAGCTTTAGTCTCATACATTAAAATGTGTATATCTATCTCAAAGATAACTTCATGCCCTCAGACTTCTTTACTGCTCTTTAATAATTTCAATCATATTAAATTCTATACTCATGGTTAATATTGATTCCAGGTAAATAATAAATAGTTTTTATTTTACAACTGCTGAAAGATTGCTAGTTAGCAGTATACCAAGTTAAATACATAAATAAAAGTAAGTAAAATACTTTCCATATCTCCCAACATCTACCTGTAGGCACATAATCTCAAACACGTTCAAAGTAAAATATATTCATTACCACTATATATGTGTTAGGTCTGTTATACGCATTTATACCTTGCCTTTCTTACTTCATGAAACATAAGGCAGTATACTTGAAACAGCATCCCCACCTTTTCCCACCCAGGTGCTTACCACTCTCAGATCTGCTTAAATTCAAGCCAGGTGGCCAAAATGATAAAAATATAAAGCAAGCCCCAAATCTGGACTTAAATAAAATGACCCAACCCTTTTAACTTTCTTAAAGATATCTAAATTCCAGCTTTGCTGAACCATTAAGGAAAAGCAACTAGAACTGCGGCATAGCCAGCACTCTCAAGAAATAGACTTGCCTTTGAACTTGGCAGTATGTGGGGAATTGTTAAGCAAACAATTTCTCCATCTTCAGGATTCTGATGGTGCACAGACCATGTTATTCCTATGCCTGCAAGAACTGTTCTAGAGTAAGGATTTCCTAGTGTTCACATATACAGGAGAACATGTTTAATTTTATCACAAAGATAAAATGAGGTTGGACGCTTCCGGTATTACCTCCATATCTATGCCTGGAAAATACACAGACAACGTTAAAGGATAAGTTATTTTAAATTATCCTTCCATAGCTCCACAATGGTTAAAAATAAACATAAAACACACAGTTCTTAGTTTCTAAGAGACAAATGCCGCTGATTTGCTGGACTCAGCACATAACAAATGTTCCTTCGCCCTCCATCCCCCTTCCAAATAATGTTTAGAGGTGTTTTGTTTATTCCTATTGTTTCTTGGCTGCTTTGGCTCTTGTAGCCAAAGCTTTGAATGTTCTTCCGGAAGACATAGCTTAAATTAAGTTAATTTGTAAACCATTCATGCATCCTTCAAAGCTGCCAAAGCCTCCCACAGAATCAGCTTAGGTTCTGCCAGGATCGCTTGCAGCTGGACCGGTGTAGAAGAAAGGGAATGACAAAGGCTGCTGTGTGTAGCTGCTCAACCTTGATGCATCAGGATGACTCTAGCAGTAAAGCCTTCCCTTGGGCTAAGGATGCCTTTTTCCCAGGCATTCTCCCCGCTCTGGCTGATGGCATCACTCCCAGGGCAAAGGCAGGCAGAAAGGGAAGCTATTTCTTTCCGCACCAATGTTTATGTGCCAGAAAGTTTGGAAGCATTTACTGACCCTTCTGTGTTTCTAAGCTGCTTAGTTTTAGAAAGTGAAGGGAACCTCTTATTCCTGGCAGACAACCCAAGGTAAACAGGACTTAATGTATTCAGTCAAAAGGGGAGTGTATAAAGACTTATTGTGACACAGAAGGGGAAATCAATGATTATGGGCATCTGGTGTTAAGGAGGAAGAGCTACATTTGATCCCCCTCTTCCTCTCCCTCAAGAGAAAAGAGTTATAATAAAGCATATATTTTGCAGCTAAGGTTTAACCTTCAAGACCACAGGTCTTGTTGGTTTTTTTGTTGCTGCCAATGGACATATTTTGCAATGCCTATACTATGCAGCTAAATGAAGTAGCCTCGGGCAACAGAGGAACTGAGGGTATCCGTCTTTCAGCAGTCACTAAGGAGACTGCACATTGCTTTAAATCCTTTTTCGGCAGAGAGACCAGCCAGTTCCCCACTCTGACTCCCCAAGAGGCACCTCAGGAAACACATGATGGGGTTACAGCTGTGTGAGGGCAGAAAACAGCATATCCTGCCATGAGAATCTTTCACCTCTGCCACCCCCAGGGACAAACTCCTCCTCTGCAATGAGCAAACTTTAAATGGGTAATGGTACTCGCCCTTCTTCTGGAACAGCCGCTTAAAAGAAAGCCCGAGAGAGACTATCCCACCCCTGCTCATGACTTGTTTTCCAGCAAGAGAATGCATACCAAGCAGAAATGTTTGAATCCTCAGGCCTCGCCACGTATCTTCTCTGCTGCTCCCCCCACCCACCCCTCAATCCTTGGGAATCAGAGGAGAGGTCAAAAATAGATGGTGATCCTGGTGCCAAGACATAACGGCAAACTAAGAGGAAGAGGACTGCTGGGCCTTGCCAAAAAACCACACATGAATCTTGCAGATGTTTCAGTGTTCTTGGCTGCTTGAAACTTTGAACACTGTTTCCCTTAACCTCCCCCTTAAGCTGCCACAAGCACACGCTCCAAGAAGGCCACAGTCCATACTAGGGTCTCTACTGGCAGAACCCAACATCCTCAGCAGCATGCTGGGCAGGGAAAGTGAGTGGGTTTGGGCAGAGACCAACAATTTATAGCAAACACCAAGTAGGCGAGCTCTCTTCTGAAGAACCTATATTTGGACCATTCCCTTCTTCCGAGCCCATTGAATTGAAGCATTTCATGTCATCTTTGAAGAATTAAATCTCTGTGCTATATAAAGGAGAAGAGAAATGAGTATTTGGGGTGGGGGAGGGAGACAATTCATATACTCTGAATAATTCAGCCACACTAATATGAAGTTGTAAATTAGGAAAATGGAATATAAGACCAGCATGAAACCACCCTCAAGTTGAGCATGCTCACCTAGCCCAGGATAGGTCCTGCGTTTGCTGAGATTTGCTGATTTCACTAGGAACATACAGGATTGATGAGTCATCCAGGAGCAGAAAATAAGCAGCAGGGCTCCCAGAAAGATGCCACACTACAAAATAGGAAGGGGAAATCGTATAAGTACTACATGAATAATCAACATCCCTCCCCCCATACAGTTCTTATTTTATGTATTCTTACTGCCATCCTGTGTCACCTAGAGGCTGCCAGGTTTTATTTGCAGGCACACACTAGCCTGTTAAGGGAGATTCCCTTGTCTCTGAGCAGCAGTCAGCCAAAATATGACGTATGAGTTCAATTTTATTCTTTCTCTCTTTCTTTCACTCTCTCTCACACCCACAGTTTATGGCAAAGATATAGAGCAGCCACCTGTTTACTAAATGGTTCAGTTGCAATACCTCCTTGCTTGGAAAGGGAAGCCAAAGCAATTTATGGAAGAGAAAAAGCCTTCCTGCCCTGCTGTTGTGACAGGTTTTGGGCCTATTCCAGAATAGTGATCTGTCTCTAGCTACTACCAGATTCATGTTAAACAAGTTAGCATGCTGTTGATCCAGGGGTTTGAACTCCTCTGCACAAGTAAAACTGGCTGTTCTATCTACTTACAGCACAAACATAAATTACCCTGTTAGCTACCTGTCCTGAAAGCATTGTGCTGGTTTGCTCTCTAGACACATTTGCAGAGGAAGTGGAAGGATTTTGGGGGAAGGAGGGGGAAAGAACCTGAATAGCTGAACATTTATGAAAACAATGCATGACACTGGACAGGAACAAGTGGTGCTACATTTTAATCACAGCTGCTATTTGTTCTGTTTTAGTCAAAGGAGTTGCAGCTTCAGAGCTTCTGGCAACTGCATGCATAACAAGCCAATGACCTACTCTAAGGACCCTTTAAATCCAAAGAGCTGTAAAAGCCTTTTTCCTCAAGGGAAGGGTTATTGACATCAGTTGGTAGCTGTGGTATTGGAACAACCAGAGCTTTCTGAATGTTCCTTTTAAAAAATTGCCACAAGACATTTTTCCACAAAATGAAGATTATCACAGCCATTTCCAGATGTAGAATAGGAAGTGCTCATACAAAGGCTACATACATACAGTCTTACTGGACAGAAGTTGTAAAGGAGTTAGCATTCTACTACTGTGATCTTCCACCACGTCATTCATGCAACCAAGGACCACAGCATCTATTAGCAGCATCTGTTAACAAGTGCTGCCGTGCACTGGGAAAGCATCTGTGACCAGATGTTCATGTGCATAACCACATATCACTGGTAGTAAGCATTTTTACAACCACAAGCACTTAATTACTAACAGCAGTCCACCTCCTGTTAAGTCCAGTGCTGAAAAATCAACTATGCCTCTGAATGTCCCTTGACCAACACAGGCTCTTCGTTTATTTATCAGTGGGGACATTGATCTCCATGGCCTAAAACAGAAACAAGAGGCATGAGGTGCTCTTTGCTGCTGCTGCTGCTGCTGCAGCAGCATTAGAACCAGTCAGACAGAGAAAGAAGAAAGAGTATGTGTTCCCACAGAAGGCAGTGACAAATGCAGATCTTCTACAACTACAGCCTCAATAGGTTTAAACTCTCAATGTCCCTGCTATCTTGCACAATAAATCTTTCAACATCCCCCCACCCTTTTGTCTAGGATTATTTAACCTTCATGCTTACATTTTTCTTAAAATGGTTTATCTATAAATTGCTTTATAATTTCAATATTTAGTATTTTTAGATAAATGTAGTAAATGAGATGCAAGTGAGTTTTAGATTCCTGCCCTATATATTTTTTTTTATTGGAGAACAAACCCTGTTATACACAATATAACTGCATTCTCTGAAATGTAAGATTGCACTGCCATTATTTTTATACTGCAAGAACTTCATAAGAAAAGGCAACAGCAAAAGTTGCCTGGGATACATGTACCAAAGGTATACATTCTGGAGCACTCAGATCATTCCAGAAATTCTCATCTCCCTTTCCCCATAAGGAATGCATAAAATCAGTGAATGCTTGAAGGTTAGATATCTGTTACAAGGAAACATGGTCTAAGCTAACACTTGCTTTGCAGAATATGTTCCATATTCAACAAACAGCAAACTGCAAACAGCAGATATTGAGAGTGATAAGCAGCTAGAAAACAGGCACTCTTTTTTCTAAATTAGCCCAAAGTTAAAGCTGACAATGGCAGGCCTTTTGATGGATGAATTTGATCAAAGAACTATGTTTATTTTTTGACTAATCAACTATTCTACCAAGAATACCTTGATGTAGATCTACATCATGATGCCATCTGTTAACAGACCTACTTAAATGACTCAAGTGTTTTGCTTTGCTTCATGTTAATGCCATCTGTTGGGAAAAAGATGGAACTAACCAATAGCTAAATATCTTGATTGGTTGAAATCTTCTGATAACAACAATTTTAATTGTTTGCAACAATTGTTTTCCAATCATTTAATTTTTTTTTTTTTTTTAAAAAGCAATGTCAGGCTATCTATTTTCTTAGCTACCTAAAAAATCCATTCCATAAGTTTAGTCTCTTACCTGCTAAAAACCTGTGTTGTAGAACTACATATTTATCAGGCCTAAAAACAACAGACATTTGTGGCACTAAATTTTTATGGACCACCATTACACACATTAACCTAAATGAAAATGGTAACTTCAGAATGAGGAGTGTGTGTCAATCATATATACTCATGATTAGATGATAGGAGGAAATAGTAAACAGCACATTCAGAGGGAGATGAAATGCAAGAGCTGCAGATAGTGTTAACAACTTATTTATATTGACAATTCCCAAAACTGTCGCTGGGGTATGACACAGACATTCTTGCATTGCTGATATATGTGGTGTGACCAGGACCCTTTTCTCTCTGTTCAGTCTGTGTGTAATAAACACAAATAATGTACCAGACCATGGCTGAGCCTGAAAAAACTAAGCAGACCTAGTTACAGTGGGGCAAAAAAGTATTTAGTCAGCCACCAATTGTGCAAGTTCTCCCACTCCAAAAGATGAGAGAGGCCTGTAATTTTCATCATAGATATACCTCAACTATGAGAGACAAAATGGGAAAAAAAATCCAGAAAATCACATTGTCTGATTTTTAAAGCCCGGGCAGTGTGTTTGGGATCATTGTCATGCTGAAAGACCCAGCCATGTTTCATCTTCAATGCCCTTGCTGATGGAAGGAGGTGTTCACTCAAAATCTCACGATACATGGCCCCATTCATTCTTTCCTTTACACGGATCAGTCGTCCTGGTCCCTTTGCAGAAAAACAGCCCCAAAGCATGATGTTTCCACCCCCATGCTTCACAGTAGGTATGGTGTTCTTTGGATGCAACTCAGCATTCTCTCTCCTCCAAACACTGATTTTTAAAGAATTTATTTGCAAATCATGGTGGAAAATAAGTATTTGGTCACCTACAAACAAGCAAGATGTCTGGCTCTCACAGACCTGTAACTACTTCTTTAAGAGCCCGGGCAGTGTGTTTGGGATCATTGTCATGCTGAAAGACCCAGCCATGTTTCATCTTCAATGCCCTTGCTGATGGAAGGAGGTGTTCACTCAAAATCTCACGATACATGGCCCCATTCATTCTTTCCTTTACACGGATCAGTCGTCCTGGTCCCTTTGCAGAAAAACAGCCCCAAAGCATGATGTTTCCACCCCCATGCTTCACAGTAGGTATGGTGTTCTTTGGATGCAACTCAGCATTCTCTCTCCTCCAAACACTGATTTTTAAAGAATTTATTTGCAAATCATGGTGGAAAATAAGTATTTGGTCACCTACAAACAAGCAAGATGTCTGGCTCTCACAGACCTGTAACTACTTCTTTAAGAGCCCGGGCAGTGTGTTTGGGATCATTGTCATGCTGAAAGACCCAGCCATGTTTCATCTTCAATGCCCTTGCTGATGGAAGGAGGTGTTCACTCAAAATCTCACGATACATGGCCCCATTCATTCTTTCCTTTACACGGATCAGTCGTCCTGGTCCCTTTGCAGAAAAACAGCCCCAAAGCATGATGTTTCCACCCCCATGCTTCACAGTAGGTATGGTGTTCTTTGGATGCAACTCAGCATTCTCTCTCCTCCAAACACTTTAAAAATCAGACAATGTGATTTTCTGGATTTTTTTTCCCATTTTGTCTCTCATAGTTGAGGTATATCTATGATGAAAATTACAGGCCTCTCTCATCTTTTTAAGTGGGAGAACTTGCACAATTGGTGGCTGACTAAATACTTTTTTGCCCCACTGTAGAAATTGAATGAGAGACTAGACTGGGAAGTCAAACAACATCCCAGAAGAAGGAAATGGCAAACCTTCATTAATGTTGCCAAGAGAACAACATGGATGTACTGTATTCATCTGGTCACCAGGAGTCAAGCTCAGTTCGAGGAAACTTTATATTGCTTTCAACTGTGTGTGACTTATTTCAAAATAAGCCTATGAAGTATCAAATTGCAAATTTCCCCTTTCACTTATAACATTTTATAAATTACTACAAATCAAAACATTTCAGAAGAAGCTGACTTTTTGTAGAAATTATTAACTGGATAGTGTCCAGCTAAGTAGTAGCTCCTCGCTGACCCTGGCTGTTTTTGAAAAGCAAAGCAAGGTTGGACCTGTTAGAACTTGGATAGGAAAATCCCAAGGTTTTAGGCTAGACTGGAAAAATTTTAAAAATCCCAGAAGAATTCAACAGATATACTGTAAACTATTCTGAGTTTTCCTATTATCTTCATTTATATGATATGTAATCTAATGGAAAATATGCTGTGAAACCTTGCATTAAAAAGTGTGGTAGAATTGGGAACTCCAGATGACATGCTACTGAATATTAATTGAAGGATGCAACACTGATGTAGACTGTTGACCTCATATCCTATTTAAGGACTATTCATCGGTATTTGGCTAGCATAATGGAAAACAGGATTCCGAGCTAAATAAATCTTTTATAGAAGCCACCAGAGCACTTTCTATGTTTATCTCCTAGGGGAGTTGTGATAATATGGCATCCTTGAAATGTACTGGGTCACAACTTCTATTATCTCCAACATTACATTTAATGGTTGCAATGGCTGGGAATTACAGAGCTGAATTCCAACACATCTGGAGGGTGCCAAGCTAGTGAAGACAGTTATAGGGGAGCTGCATATTTATTTATTACAATTTGTATGCCACCTATTCATTGGACAGGCAGCTTCACTTCGGTGCATGTGATGTACATACAATATATCCCATATTAAGCAAAAAATATATACATTTTTCTTAATGACTGCAAAAACAATATATTGCAGGTCTCTCTATCCTTTGATGCCATGTAATGCAAACATAGGAAATTTATCTTTTTTTTTTTTTTTGGTGCCTTCAGGTCAGCATTGGCTCCTGGTGACTGCCTGAACAAGTCCCTACAGTTTTCTTGGCAAGTTTTCAGAATGGTTTTGCCATTGTCTTCTTCCTAAGGCTGAGAGAGAGTGACTGGCCCAAGGGCACCCAGCTAAGATAGGACTAGAACTCACAGTCTCCCGGTTTCTAGCCTGATGCCTTACCCACTACACTAAACTGGCTCTTAGGAAATGTATCTCCTAGCAGGTATTTCTTAATATGAAACAATCTGGGGGCGTATGTTTCTAAAATCTGCTTTACACTGGATTCCACCATCTGATAGCCTCTAAACATCCAAGAAAGCAGTACATAGAAATGGTGATGCGGAAGGGAAAATAGAAAAAAAGAAACAAGGTATACATGACTGTCACATGAATATAAGATTAGTTTAATGATGACAGAAAAGAGTTTCTATCATTCTTCAATTTATGAAACATCCAAATAAAGTTTTTCTACATTTCCCAATTCTGTGACATTTTTGTGCCTGCCAGACAAGTCACACAGGTGAACCAGTGTCTAAGCTCCAAGTTATAACAAATACATGACTAGCCAATATGAGAGTGAGAAAAAGCATGAAAAATTGAATGAACCTTGGAATTCATATATCAAGAGAATTCTTATTTTTACATACTATTCTCTTTTACATCAGTACTGTAGGATAGATGTTCTAAGAACAGACAGTATAACTGGATTTAAAAAGAATATGAAGTAAGAATGAAAAGATCAAACACAATTTTGGGCAGTATAACAAGCAATCCACACTACATGCTACTGCTCCTAATCTGAATGTTCAATCTGTATATTTTATATAATTAATAACCATTAATACAGCATAATACTAAGCAAACAATAGTTTGTAAGTGGCTTAAAATCCGTTTTTCTTAAAAACAAGAATTAACCCTTGCTCAAGACAAAGGCAATGACAAGCATGTCAATTTCAGTACACAGAACACACACACACACACGTGTGTGTATATAAATGTGTGTCTGTGTGCGCGTGCCTCTGAGTTAGTACTGACTCCTGGAGACTGCCTGGACTAGTCCCTGCAGTTTTCCTGGCACGATTTTTGGAAGTGGTTTGCTATTGCCTCTTTCCTAAGGCCGAGAGAGAGTGGCTGGCCCAGCTGGTTTTGTACCGCAGGCAGGACTAGAACTCATGATCTCCCAGTTTCTAGCCTGGTGCCTTAACCAGTACACCAAACTGGCTCGCTAGAACTTATAACTACTGAATACATTTAAAAGTTAAAGCAAGTAATAAAAGGGCACAAGGCTTAGCATAAAAGAGGGCATAAAGTGGCCATAAGTACCAAGCAGTTTTTAAGGAATAAGAACCAGAGACAACCACATCTTTAAACTGGCAACAAAATCAATACGCTAATTAGAATGAGTAGTTTCTCTTGCCTCTGGGCTTCCCACTGTCCATCTATTAACTGAAAAATATTGTACAGGAGCAACTTTTCCAACACAAAGATGCCCGGGAACGAGAAGAATGGCAGTTACTGAAAGGTCACCCTGCCGCGCAGACCATCTTCGACAGACCGACGAAGCCAGGACCGGTCAGGTGGCCTGAGGGGGAACCCTGGACATGCAGGAGACCCATAATTCCCACAACACTTAACAAGGGAGGGGATGCGCGTGCAAAACCAGACTGACCTGTCGGAAGCAGAAGGGCATCGTCAGAACGCTAACCCCGACAATGCTGTTCACGATGTTCATGATCAGGCCCCAGTTGGAACCCGAAGACGGGGAGGAAGCCATTCCCGAAAAAGGACGTTGGGGAGAGCGGGCAGGTAACAGGGAAGAGGGCTTTGAGGAGGGAGGGAAATGACAGCTCCACGCCCCCACGGAGCGCCAGACTACGGCGGGGTCAGGGCGCCGTTTTAGCACTAGCCTCGCACCAAAACAAACTCTCCCCCAAAGCCGGCTCCAAACGCACACGTCGCACACACTTCCTAATTCCCCTGCTCTGTTGGCGCTTCCGGGATGCAAAACCACAGAGGGCCGGTTGCCTAGAGCGGCACAATGGGAACAGCGTTGTACCTGCCCCGGAGGACTCCCTGACTGAAGCGGGGGACCGAAGTTGCCGTAGCAACTCCTCGTGACGCCGGCAGTTGCCACCTACCAGATCGCGGCGGAGGGGGAGGGGAGCTTTCCCTTCCGGACAGTTTCCTTTGATGCTGCGGCGGAGCCGAGCTCGCGGGATAGTCCTGGAGCGGGTTACTCCACGTGGGTCGCCGCGGAAAACCAACGCGAAGGTGGCGGTTCCACGTAGCCGGAGCAACGTGGGCTGATTTTGTACGGCAGGAACCTCTCTCGAATTTGGTTAGACTGAGTAATGGCGCCTACTCTCGGGAGAAAGAAACTTGGTGAACTTTTACATAATACACTCACGTAATACGAAAGGAGATGGGTGCGATAGGACCCATCTACTGACAGAGAAGCAGCAAGGGAACACACAACCAATAAGCGGTTGAACAAAAGTTACAGCGGGAGAGCGCTGTTGCCTGGATACAGCATTCCAGCACTTTCTCAGCCCCTGCGTCTGATAACGACACCATTAACTCTCAGGTGTGTAGCGAGTTCCAGGGCTGAATAGGAAGGAGGCGGAGCACCCATGTGGGTACCCTTCATCTGCATTTGCACAACCTGCTTAACCTGGGTACGGAATTAGCCCATTGCTTCACACAATAATGTGAATTATAAAGGTGACCAGTGGGGTTGGATTTATATAAGAAATTAAGCCACTAAAAAATTAAACAAGGTTAATCTTACCCAAGGTTAGCATGTTGTGTAAAAGCAGCTCCTAAATCTTTACTTGACCTGGTTAAGCATGTTTTGGGAGCACAGCTTCGTAGCAGTTGAATAGAACATATGTAGTGATTGAGAAGAAATCCCATACCAAGAGGTTCACATATGGAAGCGTTAAAAGGAAACCTAAATCTGATCTGTCAGTCAGACTTAAATCAGTAAATCCAGATAGTGGGCAGAGACAATCAAAGCCTATGGAAATCAAAGTCTGAGGAATCAATCAGGAATGGAAAAATTCCCCCCTTGGATGGGCTTTTGAAAAAAAGATGGGCAGCTCCATTTTGCCTTTTGTCTTAGGTTCCTTACTTCTTGTCCTAGGGCTGGTTAAAAGACAGGTAAGAACCAAGCCCCAACCCATCAAGATCTGGATAGGAATTCAGGAAATTGTCCAGCTAGCTAGGGATCAGTGTTGCTATATGTGATATAAATTTATTTTTATTTCATATACTGATCTGAACTGTTGGGATTTTGTTCTTTTTGCTTATTTCTGTGTGTGTATGTAAGATCTTGGCTGAGGGAGCAGCCAGGTGAGAGAAACCTATTCTGTATTTATTCCAACCCTCCCCGAAGGAGCCAGAAGTCCAGTTCACCACATCCCAGGCGTGTATGTGCAAGTGCACCAAATGATGCATCTGATAATATGGCTTTTGGTCTAAAGAAAGCTCATGCTAGCAGTAAGCTTTCCCCAACCTAGTAACTAAAGTTTTTGCTGTGCTAGCTAACGGTTCTGGGAGCTGGAGCTCCAATGCATTAGGAAGGCACTACATTTCTTTGAGTTGTGCCATCATACTGTATTTTCACTTTATTATTATGAAGGAGAGGACCAGTAACACATGTGCCTAATGTTTAGCTGTTAGCAGTAGATAACATAAGCAGCCCCTAAATATCTTTGGGCAGAAATCTACCATTATGGAATATCACCCAAGACCTGCATCTTAATATTTTATTTATTTGTTCAATTTATATCTCACCTTATTTTTTACAACTCAAGGTGATGGGCATTAAGCTCCCTTCACCTATTTTTCCCTTGTTAACAACCCAGTGGGATGGATTGGATTGTCATCCAACCAATTTCCATGCCTAAGGGAGGACTACAGCTCAGTGTCCTACTTTTTAGTCCAATATCTTAACCGCTACACCAAACTGGCTCTCAGTATTTATTTATTAATTTTTATCCCACCTTTATTTTTGGTCAGCTCAGGAAGGTGTACTTAATGATCTCACCTAATGTTGTGTAATTTTCACCACCACAGCAACAACCCTATGAGATGGGTTGGGCTGAGAGAAAGTGACTGGCCCAAAGTCACCCAGCCAGCTTTCATGACTAAGGGGGGAATACAACTCACAGTCTTAGAGTTTCTAGCCCAGCTTCTTAGCCATTGCACCAACCTGGCTCTAGTATCTGTGCTTAGCTCCCTTTGAAAAAGTTATTTTACTGTGTAGTGTTATTGTTTATTATTTTTCTGTTGCTATCCAAA